CCTAATAGCGATTACGAAGGTAAGGCAAGTCGGAAAATTCACTCTGATCGTTTTGATAAGAACAACCGAATTTGTTGGTGAAGGCCTCAGACTCAACACGGAGGCCTACATCAAGTGCCGTGAGGAGGTAGTGCTGCCCTGCGTCAAGAAGATGGCTGCTGGAATTCCCAATGTCTGGCAAGCAGAACACACTGATAGCTGTCAGACAATTTCTGTGTCTACATCATCTCTTTCATCTGGCCACCTAACTCCCCAAACTGCAACCTCCTTCCTCATTGTTCGAAGGATGCGAGAGACCAAGAAAACTCCATGTAACGCAAAGATGAAATGAAGGCAAGGATTATGGTAGCATTTACCAACTTAAACGAGGAGACGTTCCAGAAAAGTTGCTGGCGATTTCGAAGTTGTCGTGGTTGAAGCCAATGGCAATTTTATTGAATATATTTACTCTTTAGCATTTCAAGTTATTTTTGTGTAATTTTGGTAAATATAAGGTAATATATGGGTAACAAGATGTCAGTGTTATTTTCATTTTTAAGTCATTTCGATGAAAGTTTATTCATTACACCCTGTATTAGGTTTCTGTATTAAATACCCATAGAGATGTTGATAGGCCGCTAAATAGAAACAACCAAACCAACTCTTTACCTTTTATTTGTTTTCGCCTTTTAAGATTTTTTCTTAATTTATCAAAAAATTCTTGCTTATTTGCTTCGAAGGGCTGAGAAATTATTATGATTCGACGCTTTTTTACAACCAAAATCTTTTTAGTGTACACCAAGCAAACTTTTTTAGTGTGTGTGTGTGGGAGGTGTTTTGTTTTGTTTTTGTTGTATTGTTTATTTTTTTTTTGCAAACCGCCTTTCTCATATGGCACAAATGAATTTTGTATGTTTTCTTTTACGTGAAACTTCGGATTTCAGTGTCGCACTATCCATTTTTTGCTGAAATCCTTGGCAGATATTTAAATTGTTGTACTTGTTTGATTCTCGTATCTCCAACTTGTAATTTTCATGTGAGACTCTCCCTTTTGCTGGCAACCATGCATTCTGTCTTCTTACAATTGGTGTTTAGTCTGTTTCTGTCTTTCCTTCGCTGCTTTCTGTAGGAGTTAGTTTCCTTAATAACAAAAATCCATTCAAAGATAGGTCTACTTCTATATGACATTAGTCATAAAAGACATTACGTTCTATTCTTTGATCGCAAATGCTTCTGAATTTGAGAGTAAATAATAAGTTGACGGCAGTGGAAACAATCCTTACGTTCTTTGACTAGGTAACGTTTTTCTACCCATTTGCGACATTGAAACAAAGTCTGTCCAAATTTCAGCAATTTGCAATTAAGAATTTCCTTGAAGCCTACCAAACACAACTTAAGTTTTTTCCGTATCTGTCTATATTTCTGAGATGAGGTATTATGTACATTATTTACATTATTCGGACTATTGTCCTCATCTTTGTCGCCAAATTTATTACAACGTTTCGGCCGTTGTTCGCTCCGGCCTTCTTCAGGTGGTTGGAATGTCGAACTGAACCCTTTATTTCGCTCATTGGAGTAAACTGTTCTAGTTTCATGGGTCCTGTCAGTGGATCTAACTAATGCCTTTATCCACTGTGCCATGTGTCCTTGAGAAAATATTCCGTTGAGGGTTGGATATTGAAGGTTGCAATGAATCTTTGTCAGAATTCTCTCCCTTTAAAAAAAAAACTTATCACTCCCTTTCTCATTATCAGCGACAAACAAAACAGAAGGGAAAAGTGCTAAAACGCAAAGCGATACTCCATCGTTAAATTTTATGTAGACTCAAGTTTCGGAATTTTTCTAGAGGCTCGTAAATGATGTATTCCAGTTGACTGATTTTACAAGCAATAGTAACATTTCAAGAATCTTCTAAGATTCCTGAAGTATTTTACAGCTCAGGGAACGATTACGTCATGCCCATGCCTATCCTCCTCCTTCTACGTGACGTGGAGGTAATGGCTCTCTACAGCTTCCTATGCTTCTTAACTAACAGACCAATACCATTTCTTCCATACTTTATAGCTTATTACTAAAAGAAATCCTAATTTAAATGACACTAAATTTGATAAATGCCTGGTTTTTCTCTCCACCTCCCGCTGTAAAGAACAACGTCTTGAGTACGCAAAAGGCGAGTAATTTTGTCGATGTCTCATCTAATCTTTTCTCCTAGTACCTGGAAACACCCTGTCTGCTAATGAAGGATATTGTTTCCTTTGAGTTGACATTATCAGCGAAAAAGCGACGAGAGTTAATTCTCTGAATTTCAGATGAGAAGCCATAAAGAGTCTACACAGCCAGATCTCGGTAAAGTATGCGTTGATGAAACATAAAATCGGATACAGCATGATCTTGCCTTCAAGTTTCCAGCTTTTTTTTAAAAAAAAATATATAAAAAGCAACACGTATTTCTATCTTTCTCAACATATATATATATATATATGTGTGTGTGTGTGTGTGTGTGTGTGCATGTGTAAAATATGTGTAGTGTAACACAAATGCTCAACGAAGATATATATCTCTATTATATATATATATATATATATATATATATATATATATATATATATATATATATATATATATAATCATATAGGTATAGTATTATATATATGATATTATATATATATATATTATATATGTATATTATTATAAATATTATATATCCATATATATTTATATTTATATATATATACATCCACACAGTTGTATATATAGAAAATCTATTTTTTCGAAGGATATTCTCAGCATCGTTTGAAAATGCAACTGAACTTTAAATTTTAAGTTTAATTTAAAATTTAAGTTTCATTACACAGGGTGTTTCAAAAAATTTGATATCATTTCGCAATCTAATAACTTTGTTAGATCTCCTTCAAATGACTTCAAATTTTAATAGCATCTTTATGTTTAATGTTTGTTTTTATGTTTTTATGTATTTATGTTTTTGTGTTTTTCTTATTTGTATTTTTATGTTCTTTAATCTTTAATCTTTTTCTTTACAGGTATAAAAATGCCGTGTCTCAGGCGGTGCGCATATTGAACATTTGTGAAATCGTTCACATAATCCACATGCTTTTGAATTTCTCATTTAGATTTGGAAGAATAAATCTTATGATCTTCAACATTAATACTTTTTAATTTGATTTGCCTTAATCATGTACTTTCTGTGATATTTACATCTCAAAGGATATCAAATTTTTTGAAACACCCTGTATATATATATATATATATATATATATATATATATATATACATTTGCGTGTAATTATATTATATATATATATATGTGTGTGTGTGTATAATTAAATTAAAATTGTTCACTTATCTGTTTTTTCAATATGTACGCAGAGTTTCTTCCAGTTATGACCAGATTTTATTATGAACTAAGCTTATTTTCTTAGCTAACTTTATTTTCTCTCAAAGGTCTTTGGCGTGGGATAATTGCTAACGAAGCTACTCTAGTTGATTATTAATAATGACTTTGATTCTTACCCAGTGTTCTATACTAAAAGAAATCGGCCTCAGAACTACCGTTGAGATACTAACCCAATATTTTCTCCTCAATAAACAAAAAATATCTTTTTTTATTGCATGAATTGTTTTAAAATATTTCTGTTAGGGACTTAAAATTGATTTGTGTGTGTGTGTGTGTGTGTGTGTGTGTGTGTGTGTGTGTGTGTGTGTTAGATAAAATTTGCTCAGTTATAATTTTTAAGTCATGTTTTAGAAAAAAAATGTTAGCCGTTAATGGATTAGAAACGTTCTCTTTGGGCTTTGTTATTAATTTAAATTTGAATGTTAATTTATTAATTTACACAACTTCTCTTTCTTCTTCTTCTTCTTCTTCTTCTTCTTCTTCTTCTTCTTCTTCTTCGTCGTCGTCGTCGTTTTCGTCGTCGTGCCGGGTCCCTTCTGGACGTGGAGGATCAAACTCTTCAAAATTTCAGAAGTTTTCTTTTCGTATTTCGGTTACGCGCTGTTTTACACTGTCACTCTTGTCTTCAATGGGTCGCGAGAGTATCAAATTTTCCAAGCCCTCTTTCCTCATTATGTGCCCTAGAAATTGGAAAACTACCTTATGTATAAATATCTTCATTTTCTCTAAAACTTCGTCGTTGCTCACATGTTCAGACCCTGGTATTGTCAGCATCCTTTTGTAGAATCACATTTCTGTTGCTTCCGGTATTTTCTTTATCAGGGAGTACATTGTCCAGCATCCATGCCATATAGGAGGACTGATATTTTGTATCAGCTCAGTACTATTTTCTTTCTTTCTAAGGGAAATTTACTGTTTCTTGATACTTTGCTTAGCTTTTGGAAGGCTTCTTCCCTAATGCTCTTTCGAATTACATTACATTTACATATTTCGTCCTCCGTTTAAAACATATCTTACATATTTAAATTTTTGTACTTGCTTGATTTTTGTGTCTCCAATATGTAATTTGTATGTTGGGCTGCCCCTTTTGCTGGCAACCATGCATTCTCTCTTCTTACAATTGACAGGAGATGAATTTGTGGTAGAATATGCTATGTTAATCTCTATATATGGGAACAATGTTGGGTAATTGAATGACAAAATGGAAAAATGTAACGTGTTTCGGTCTCTAAAAGGACTTCATCAGACTAAAGTACTATTCTTATTGGTGAAATTATATATACTAGATATACCTGTGAAAATTTCACAGTTTTTCTATTTTAATTTTCTAATGAATATTAATTCTTAATTTGATGATTGAATAAGTTCATTAGAAGTTTCCTGGCAATTAAATAACCATGAAAACCCCCCTATGTCGTGGAGAAATACTTGAACTAAAAAAAAAAAAAATTGAACAAAATATTACAATAACAATCATAAATATGAATGTATTATTATTTAATTACTTAAAGAAGTAAGAGGGTAAAATCAAAATATTTTAAACCGACAAGTTCTTCAATTTCACTGAAGCAGACGTGAAATACATAAGAGTGTTCTTGCCTCTTCTATGTGCACTTTCTTTCTTGCTTTTTTCTTTCTTTCTTTCTTCTTCCTTCTTCTTTCTTTCTTTCTACCCTTTCTTTCTTTTTTATTTCTTCTTCTTTCTTTGTTTTTCTTTTTTTCTTTGTTTTTCTTTCTTTATTTATTTTTCTTTTTTCTTTATTTCTTTCTTTTTTCTTACTTTCTTTATTTCTTTTTTCCTTATTCTTTCTTGTTTCTTTCTTTCTTCTTTCTTTCTTTCATTCTTTCTACCCTTTCTTGCTTTCTTTTTTCTTTCTTTCTTTTTTCTTTTTCTTACTTTCTTTTTCTTTCTTTCTTTCTTTTTTCTTTATTTCTTTCTTTTTTCTTTCTTTCTTTCTTTTTTCTTTCTTTCTTTCTTTCTTTTTTCCTTTTTCTTTTTCTTTCTTTCTTACTTTTTCTTTCTTTCATTTTTCTCTCTTTCTTTCGTTCTTTCTTTCTTGCTAAGACTGAAACCAAATATCTCCGGTTTTTTCACCATGTTTAATATGGAATAATCCATGATTTATTAGACATTAGCAGAACTTAACGTACGTGCTAATTAACTGACTAAGGCTCCAGCAGAAATATATGACGTAAAGTGAATATAACATTGAATATTTAAAGACAAAAGTGATGAAAACAAAAACAAACGGGTTTGAAAATCGAATGCGATCGGCTGAGTTGTACGTCTAGACACGTCGGACATCACAAATGTTTTACTTTACGCTTCGGTACATAATTATAAACGACCTTTGTGTTTATATTTCTCCTCCCAGGACATATATAAAATTCACTCAATAAGAGCACTACTTTTGTTGGTTACAATCTATAGATTTATAGGAAAATCCTACAGGTGCATACTGGGATTTCTTCCTAACCAATAAAAATGGACATTTCTCGCACTTATCTCCACTTATATATATGGTTTAAACACTAATATTCCGTGGTTATAATTTATTACATTGGAATCGTAAATACGATCCAATTCATCAGACCAACAAAATCAAAAAGAAATCAGAAAAAATAACTCCGGAAATAAAAAATAAAATTTAGTGAGAGTGTATGTATGTATATAAAATAAAATAAAATAATTGTATATTTGGGCAATTTATGTTTATTTGTTTGGTTAGTGGCATATAAACTCCTTATGGGTCATTTAATGCCGAAATTTTATTTTTCTTGGGAGCGTTAGTAATTTCTTTTACAAAAAATGGATTTCTAAACCCTCCAAGTTTTGGTTCACCACTGCTGTGGCCAGGTATTGAACTTACAACTCTTAGGGTCTGACCAACATCTGTATCCACTGGGAAGTGGTGAACCGAACTTGAAGAGTTGAGTTAAAGTCAAATAACTGAGACACCCAGAAGAGGCATTGCACGTGGAACTACAACAATCTACCGACGAAATAAAGGGTTCGATTCGAAATTCTAATCACCTGAAGAAAGCCGGAGCGTACCACAGCCGAAACGTTGAGAATATTGTAATGAAGATGAGGATAATAGTCCGAATAATGTAAGTATAATACCTCATATGAGAGACATAAACAGATATTGAAAATAAGGCACGTGGAACTGGAAGAATTTATCCCGGTGAGCGAAATAAAGGGTTCGATTCGAAATTCTAATCACCTGAAGAATGCCAAAGCATACAACGACCGAAACGTTGTGAATATGACAATGAAGATGAGGATAATAGTCCGAATAATGTAAATAATATAAGATTGTTCGAGTTCCACGTGCCAGGCCTCTTCCGGATGTCTCAGTTATTTAACTTTAACTCAACTGTCCATGTTTGGTTCACCACTGATGTGGCCTGGTATTGAACTCACAACTCTTTGTGTCTAGTCACTGGATGTAACCAACGTCTTTATTCCCTGGGCTATGCGTCCATGAGGAAATAACGGAAACATCCGGAAGAGGCATGGCACGTAGAACTAGAACAATCTATCCGGTGGATGAAATAAAGGGTTCGGCTTGAAATTCCAATCACCTGAAGAAGGTCAGAGCGTACAACGGCAGAAACGTTGTGAATATTGCAATGAAGATTAGGATAACAGTTCGAATAATGTAACTAATATAAGTAATCATAATACCTCATATCAGAGATATAGACAATATTCCTTTTTTGGGGGGGTTTTTCTTCTTTTCTTCATTTTCATTCCTCTTTCGTTATTTCTTTTATTTTCCTTTATTCTTTCTTTTCTTTTTTACTCTTTTTCATTTCCTTCTTCATTTATAGCAATCTTTATTTTTTTGACTTTATTACTTTTCTTTCTTTTTTATTCTTTCTTTCTTTTTGTTGTGGATTCCGGGTTGAAATCCGGTACCAATAAATACCAAACGCCAGAAATGAATATATGAAAATAATGTATTAACGTAATAATACAAACTGGTAAAGCAGGTTAGTAGTTCCAGGAATACGTGTTACTAGCAAAATATATATACAGTCTTTGGTATTGAAGTATCGCTGTATGACTTCTTACTGAGTCTACGTGCTCGCTCACTGTGACTCCTACAACGCTGTTACCTCACCCTCACTCTTCCGGTTACCTACAACCTTTTACTCTGTCACTCTAGACTCGACTCGACTGGTCTTGCTCTCTCGGGTCTTCACGTAGCCGTAGTATATGTATATACTGGGTGAGTCCATTTGTATAAAAAGGGGTGGACCCCTCAACACTTTTTTCCTCTTTTTGTTCCCTTTCTTTCTTTCTCTTTGTTTATACGGAGCCATGAAAGTCCACGTCCTGCAGGGACATGGCACAGAAGAAGAAATACCTTTCTTCCCCTTATCTTTTTTCTATAATCTTCTTTCATGTTTTTCTTTATCATTATCTTTCTTTTTAATCATGCTTCATTCCATTTCTTTTTTCTTTTTCTGATCATTTTAATTATTTTTTTGTTCCTTTCCTATATTTTTATCCTTCTCTTTTATCTTTATGTTTATTCTCTCCGAATTTTATCTTTTTGTCTCCATTTTTATCCATTTCTTTCTTAGATACCGATTTAGTTATCTATTTATCATCTCTGCTGTATTCTTTCATTTTATCCTTTCTCTCTTTCCATTTATTTCCTACTTTTGATTTCTTTTCATTCTTATTTTCTTCATTAATGTCCATATTGCTTCTGCATTCACTTCCTTCTTTGTCTTCTTTTCAAATATTCTTAACTATATTCCGTTTATTTCATTTTTTTAGACTTCTTCGAGTTCTTTTTTATTCGTCTTCATTCGTTTCTATTTATTCCTCGACATTTTTCCATTTTCCTTCTTCATTACTTTTTTCTTCATTATTCTTAATTGTTTTTTTTTTATTTTATTATCATTCATTTCCATTTTCTTTCATATCTTTCTTCCATATTCTTCTTCATTTTTCATTATTTTCCGTTTTATTATTTATTTCTTTTTTCTTTTTCTTCTTCTTCCTCCTCTTCTTCTTCTTCTTCTTTTAATTCGCTTTTCATGTCATCCTTCATTTTTTCTTCTCTTTTGTTTGCCGTTTTCTTCATTGTATTACTTCTTTTCATTCTACTTTTTAAAATATTTCACCATTTCTTTGCTTCTTCTTATTTTTCTTCATGCTTTTCCTTCTTTTAATTTGTTCTTCATGCTATCATTCATTTTTCTTTTTCATGCCTTTCATTCTTTTAATTTTTTCATGCAATCCTTCTTAAATTTTTCTTCATGATTTTCTGTTTTTTACTTCATCCTTTTTCTTCTTTTTATTCTTCTTCATTCCTTTTTGCTTTCCTTCTTCATTCCGTTGCGTTTTTATATTCTTCTTCATGCCTTCCTTCATTTAATTCGTTTTCCTTTCTCATTTTTAGTCGTTTTCTTCTTCTTCTTCTTCTTCTTCTTCTTCTTCTTCTTCTTGCGTTTCCTTCTTTTTATTGACTTTTCATGTCATCCTTCTTTTATTCCTTTTCATTCATTTCCGTTTTTTTTCTTAATTACTTTCATTTCTCCCTATTCCTTGTTTTCCTTCGTACTCTGCTTTACGTTCTTTATTCTTCTTCCTTTCTTTCCTTTTTTATTTTTCTTTATTTGTCTCTTTCATTTTTTCACTGTTTTCTGTTTTCTTATTTCATTGGTTTTCTTTTATTTTCTTCATCATACTATTTCCTTTCTTTCATTCGTTTTTATTTTCTTTTTCTTTTATTCTACTTCTTTATTTACCATTTCCCTTCTTCATCCTTTTTTTTCTTCTTTTCTACTTTTAATATTTTTTTCTTTTTATCCTTCTTTTATTCGTCTTCCTCTCCGTTTTCATTCTTTATTCTTTTTCATTCCTATCCATTGTTCCTTCTTCATTCACCTCACTCTTTTGATTCTTCTTCATTGTTATCTATTTTATTTCTTCATTCGTTTCCATCTTTTCAGCCATTTGAATTTTTCCATTTTCTTTTGCTTCTTCTTCATTCAATTTCATCGTTTATTATTTTACGTCTTTTTCTTTGCATTTTCATCTTTTTTCTTGATACTTTGTATTATTTATTTTCTTCGATATTCGTCTATTTTATTTCCTTCCATGGTTGCTACTTTTTTTTCCTCTTTTTATCATAAAGTTCGCATTTCTCCTGCTCACACAATTAATTTTTTTGTTTTTACTATATTCCTGTTTCCTTCACTTTCTTTGTAATTTTTTAAAACAATTTCTGTCACTTTCTATAATTCTTCCACTTTCCACACAACACTCACTCTACTCGCACATTTAATTGATTCTTCCGACCTTCATTTCATCCCATCTTTTTCTGCAACCATTTTTCTCCAATCGCCATATTGACAGTTTCTTTTTTAACCTTAAATTTTGTTCTCTTAATTTTCTTTTGCACATGTACTTCTTCTTTCTCTTATTCATTCGTGTTCATTATTTTTCAACCTTCTCGTTCAATATTTTTTCCTCCTACCACAATTCTCTCATTTTCTTAGACATTTTCATCTCATTCTGCGTTCCTCTTTTCTTGGCCCTATTTCCTTTCTACGTCGCTAGCTCAAGTTCTGCACGCTCCATTTTGAAACATTCTTACAGCTTTTACATTTATCCAATACTTATATTTTTCGCGTTGATGAAGAGTTAGTCTTTTTACAATTCACTTACTTTCCCTCGTTCCTTTTTAAAATCTCTTTTTTTATTCTTTTATTCTCGTTTCTCAATTCGTATTTTTCTATATCCGCCATATTAGCGATTTTTCTTTTTCGTTCGCTTTTACCATCTTCCCACTATTTCCCCGCAAGCTTCCAGCTCTCAAAACAAAATATTCTCTTTTTTTTTTTTCGTCTTTATCATTCGGCTTTTATCTCCCCACCTCAATCCTTTTCATTTTTTTTTCTTATTCTTATAAAAGAATTAAAATTAGGACGAAATATATGCGGAAAAAAAGCCATACACAACATATTTCTTTATAATTCGTTTGAAATTCTTCTGCTTCATGGAGGCCATTTACTTTATGATTCTTTATGGAAATTATCGACATTTTCTTTCGATTTTTGGCTTTGTTTCTCAGGATTCTTTCTCTTACTTATCGTCTGCTTTTCTTCTTAGATATTTTTCTTTGCTTTGTTTTGCTTTACCATGGAATTTCATTGTTTCGTAATTTTATCTTTCTCTGAAGTCTTGTCATATTTTTATTTCTTGCTGTTAATTCAGTTATCTCAATTATTTATTTGTGCCAACATAATGCATGCATTTTTACATCAATGTGCACAGGTACACATTTGTGTACAGAGATGAGAAAATATATGCAAGGTCAAATTCTATATTAGAATGCGTATCATTTAGACGCAAATACACGTTCATAATTGCAAATATATACATATCGTTAAAATATGATTGTAATGATATTGAAGCCAATAGGAAATTGCACGACAAATGCACACATACATGCATATATATATATATATATATATATATATATATATATATATATATATATATATATATATATATATATATATATATATATATATATATATATACATACGTATATATATGTATAAATATATATATATAAATATGAATGAATTTTTGCTACCTAAATACCTCATATATATATATATATATATATATATATATATATATATATATATATATATATATATATATATACAGAGAGAGAGAGAGAGAGTGTCCATAAAGTTCGTGTGCAATTTAAAAAATTGATAACTTTAAAGTGCACACGATCTTTATGGACACTCTGTATATGAGGTGCATTTAGTCAGCAAGAATTCAATCGACAAAATTTGCGTTTTATTTTTTATTGATTTTTCCAGTTTTCGAATACGATGTTGAAATATACATGAACTTTGAACTGTTTATTCATAAGTTTAAACCCCACATGCAACATCTTATTCGAAAATTGAAAAAAATATACATTAAAAATTAAATAGGTCGACATTGTCGCTTGAATTTAACAACACTTGTTCATATATATGCATACATACATACATGTTTCACTTTTATTTAAGTTTAATCCGAATATTTGGCGAAATGTGACCAATGTTATTTATTTCATCATTTTCCAGATTACATTCATATATATATATATATATAGAGAGAGAGAGAGAGAGAGAGAAAGAACGGGAAGAACAGAGGGAGAGAGAGAGAGAACGGTAAGAACAGAGGGAGAGCGAGAAAGTTACATACATAATTACATGCATAGATACAGACATATGCGCCGATACGGGTATAGTAATATATACCAAATATATAAACGAAGAATATATTCTTCGTTTATATATATACTCAACAAAACACAACACTGTTAAAGCCTCTTAGTATTCAATTAAAATATCTTTTACGTCTGATAGATTATTTGAAATATAAAACTATATGAGCGAATTAGATAATTTCCTGAAATTCTGGCGCGATTAACCAATTAGTAGCCATTGGCCCATTTGGACGGTGAGCGTTAATCGATTATATATTGAAACCTATAATTAATTACGAATTTTCATAAACATGTATTAATTACCGGATTTCTTACAAACTTATAATTAATACCGTATTTTTTATTTTAATTCTTATAATTAATGGTGGATTATGCAAGAGGCAATGAAGGATTTAAAAGGACCTCCAGGATATTTATACATCCACGTGCCAGGAGGCTTAGATCCAACATAACAAAATATACAGACATATACAGACACACGTGCACGCATATATATATATATATATATATATATATATATATATATATATATATATATATATATATATATATCTTTGTTTAAAAGTGGAATACAGTGTAGATTTCTATGTGCACGCACATAATCTCTCTCTCTCTCTCTCAACATTCACACACAAAACATATGTGTATATATATATATATATATATATATATATATATATATAGAGAGAGAGAGAGAGATTGTGTTTCTACGAAAAATGTTGATCAGTGTATTTCAAGAAGGCAACGATTTAACGCGTTACTTACATACGTACATAAATATATACATGCATACATACATCTCTTACAGACTTACATACATACACATATATATGTGTGTGTGTGTGTGTGTGTATGTGTGAGAGGGTGAGAAGATGATATATAATTATATCAAAATATTGCGTTGAAAATTAATGACAGAGTAACAAATTTATATATATATATATATATATATATATATATATATATATATATATATATATATATATATATATATACATATATATACATATATATATGCATGTATGTATGTATTAGTCTGCATTCCGGTAACAACATATTTAGAGGAATTATATCCGAAAACAAAGGAATATTCAGTTTAAGAATCATAAAACGATTTTTTTTTTACGTTTTCATAGATAGATAGATAGATAGATAGATAGATAGATAGATAGATAGATAGATAGATGTCTTTGTTCATACATGCATTCTTTAGACTTTCTACACACACATATATAATCACACATACATATTCATACATATATCACATATATATTACATATATATATATATATATATATTACATATATGTGTATGTGTGTGTGTATATACTATTGTAAAAAAAGAAAGAGCAGTAAAATATATAATCCGATGTTGTTATTGATATTTTTATTTTTGCAAAACAGTGCTCAATGTAAATTTACAGAACATAGCTATTATAAATTAAACAATTTAAAAGATTAACCAAATTAAAAATATGATTCTATCACATTCAATTATATAATTAAATTAAAAGTACTAGTTATGAAACAGAACTAGCCCTTTTAATTAATATTATATATTGCATATATATATATATATATATATATATATATATATATATATATATATATATATATATATATATATATATGAAGTCGCCACATAAATTGACTTATTAACCGTTACACTAGAGTGAAGTGCCAAATTATTGTTGCTATGATAGAATAATTTGACAAATGGTCACAAACATGTGGCAGCCAGGAATATTGAACCTTTTCGTTGTTTTTAATTCTTGAGTCTACGAGTAAGCAATATATATATATATATATATATATATATAGAGAGAGAGAGAGAGAGAGAGAGAGAGAGAGATGAGTAATGTTTGCGTTAAACGACTGTCTGGAATGTATATTGGGTATCGTGCTCACTCTGTTTACTATTTATACGATCCAGCGTTAAGGATTCTGGAGAAATTGACGGTTTTTCTTGGACCGTTCCAAAAAAGTACCGCACTCCTCCTACCATGATCCAGCTTTGCAGG